CAAAAAAAAGGATACCGATACGTATTACTGTATTAATTAGAAGATCTCACTTTTTTGAATTCATGATTCTGATTGGTTAGTAATCATGTGTCCACGTCTGACAAATTGGAAACTTATGCGTTTGGACTATCGGATATCAGAAATAGCAGGTTATCGGATATGAATTAAGGAACAGACCTGGTGGATCAATTTTTAACTGATTATGGCAGGTTATCAGTTTTGACAGGATCAGTTTGGGGAAGGCCGACAGTAGTTATCTCTTTCTGTCATTCATATTAACAAATTGTGAAACTAATCAATTGTTGCTATTTAGCATTTAACTAGAAGATTCACTTATATATAGTTCTATTTATAACGATAGTCAAATCTAGATTTAATCATAATCAATCTTTCTCTCACTATTTTATATATGATTTGCTATTTGTTTGGAACGCTTGATTTTTAATTGAGTAAAGCATACAAGACGAATATGAGACTTTAATTTGCATTTTTATAATATTCAGTATTAGTTATTATTATAGAATTATAGAATGGAATTGGAATTGAATAGGGTGAATGAAAGATCTTTATTTATTGTTAATAATTCGTCAATATGGATAATACTAATGGAATATATAATGTTGGTTATAGTTAAAGAAATGGAAAAGCTATAAATGAATATGAATCTTTTAGTATTTTTGAAAGTTATCAACAAATGAACACTTAATATTAAATATTGTTATCATAAATGAATTGGTGTTAAAAAATATGAACACATTACTAATATATACTCTTTATCATTGTCATAATGGCAATACCACTATCTTGATTACTAAATATATTTTTAAGGATTGAGAACCTAGCTTTTATATTATTTTTATTTAAGGATTGATAATCTTGCATTCGCAAAAATTTTTTTATAGTCAACTTCTTAATTTTCAAAATTAATATATACTCATATGAAATGTTTTTTATATAGACTATTATTGCTAGTTTTTTTTTTTTTAAATAATTAAAAACTTCATACTGATACGCTTGTCTTTACTACATATTAAATTTAATCATTATGATACATCAAATGCATTTTACATTTAACAGTTCAAGCTCAAATAATAATAGTGTAACTTTATCTTAGGATTTATTACATTATTCTGAAGAAGATTTTTCTGATCAGGAGTTATCAAATCCACCAGGAAAAAAATGAAAACATGCTGGAAGGAAAAAAGAAGATGCTATATGGGATTACGTTAATAAAGGTGCAGCTTTAGAATGAGGGTTTTATATAGCAAGTTGTAAATGGTGTACTACAAATTGGACAAGAGGACGTCTACAAGATATGAAAGTTTATTTAGCTAGAAAGTGTGATAATGTACCTCGAAATATAAAAATATTGTGAAGAAAATATTTAGCAGAAACTCCAAATAGATTAATAGTTTATTCAAAAAATATAAAACAATCTATTATTACAACATATTTTCAGCAAGTTATACCTGTTTTTAAAACTAGAGCTAATGAACTTGACCAGGCAATTCTGAAGGCATAGGTGTGTTGTGGTTTTTCTTTTGATACTATAGAAAACCCCTTTATTATTAATCTTTTTAAGCTTGCTATTCCGGAATATACATTACCATCATGTCATACTTTTACAGGAAGGCTTTTGGATAAAGAAACAATTAGAATTAAAAAAAAAGTTGAGAATGAATTACAAAAAGAAAACAATCTTATTCTTAGTATGTTTAATTTTTTAAGCTATACTGTATTTATCTTAAATATATAAATATTAATTTAATTTAATTTATTTAGGCCTCGATGGATGGACATCCCCAAGAGGAGACTCAATATATAATTATATCATCACAACATCAAAAAAAAAGGAGTATTTGATTAAGCTTAAATTGTATAATACTAAAAATCAGACAGGTCAATTTATGGCAAGCAAAATTCAAAACATAATGCAAAATATTGAAATTGGAAAAATTCGCAGCGATTATAACTGACAATGGGTCAAATCTAAGAGTTGCACGTCAAATTGTCCATGAAGAATATTCTTTATTTTAGATCTAAGATGTGCATTACATGCTGTCAATTTGCTTGCTTTAGATCTTACAAAGATAGACTCTATTAAAGCAATTATTTCAGATTGTAATAGCATTTTAGAGTTCTTTAATAGATCACATATCGCTCATGGCTATTATAAAGAACAATTAGCTATTATGAAAATAAAGAGTGATAAAATTAAATCATACTCAAAAACACAATAGGGTACACTATATACTACAATGGATTCCATTATTCGATCAAAACCCGTGTTTGATTGGGTAAATAAATTAAACAGTAATTTAAATTAATTTCATGAATTATTAATTAATTATTAATAAATTATATTTTTATATAGATTTTAGACAATCATTCTGAAGTAATTTTAAATAATAAAGTATTTAATTTGCTTCAAAATGAAGGATTTTATTCAAAATGTCACCAAATATCTTTAATTCTTAAACCAATCAAAGACTTAACAAATAGCCTTGAGGCTTGAAATGCAAATTTAGCTAAATATTTTGTTGGTCTAGTAAAACTTGGTGCAAGTATTAATCGGGTTGATTCAGCAAACAGATAGAAGTCTTTAATTATTACCAACTTTAATCTTTGCTTTGAAGAATTTATAAATGACATATATATATTGGCATATTGGTTTCATCCTCTGTATCATGGTAATATTATTTAATTAAAAGAATTCTATTTTTACTCAGATTAAAATTACTTAATAGGCTATAAATTAATAATTTTATTAATATTTAATAGGTGACTTTAATCAGATTAAAATAGAATTGCTATTTATTTATTTATTTATTTTTTTTAATATTTTATGAATTAATAAATAATATCTATTTTATATGATTTGGATTAAAATGGGAAGCATTAAATAGAATATATAAGACTGCCTCACTTATTTAAAATAATTTGGGCCATACTGAAACATTGTGTTTAAATCTTTTAACTAAAATGAGAGTCTGGAGACGAAAAGAACCTCCTTATAATCTAAGCTATAATTAATCTAAAGAAACTCTAATTAAATAGTGAATGAGTATTAATATACAAGATGATGAAAATAATGAATTACAAGATCTTGCAGTATTTTTGTTTTTAATCGTTCCGTCTTAGGCTGTTTGTGAAAGAAATTTTTCGACAGTTAAATGGCTTCTTGGTGATAGATGTACTCAATTAGACTTGTTACATCTTGAATCTATTGCAAAAATTAGATCTTTTTACATTTTGAATATAGAAAAAAAATTGCGAATTTATGGCAAAGATATTACTGAGAATGAACTAAAAGAAAATTTTGACCAATTGACATCCATACAACAAATAGAAATTTCAAAAAATGAAAATATCGAAGAAAATAATGATTTACAACAATTATCTACTGATTTAAGTATTTCTCAAATTATTGATTTGTCATTATCTGCATTTTCAGCAACAAACAATATTTTGTTTGAATCTACTACAAATAGATTAGCACTTTATGAAAGAAACCGTAATTTAGGCAATATGAAATATAATCTGATTAGCTTAGCACAACAGATAGTGAATGAAGAAAATAGTGAAATTAGTAATAATAGCTACAATTGAATTATAATATTTTATATATATAATTCAATAAATTAGTTATAATCATTTTATTAAATTTTATAACTAATAAATCAAATATTATTAGCTTTAGTGAACTGTTAGTAAAATAAACTTTTAAATTAGTCATTTGTAAATAATTTTGTCTGAGTTAAGTTTTTTATAAAATAATTATCAGTAAATAATATGAATCTGTTCAAATTAACAAAGAAATTAGCACATCTCAGGTTATGCTGATAATATCAATTCACCTGTCTGACCCTTACTCTAGCATTTATATAAATTAATTGAGTTGAAGTCAAATACCAATATTTGAACTAAAATATATTTATTTTATATTTTATTAAGAGCATTAATAAACATTTCAATTAAGCCTAACATTATTCAAGCAAATTATATTCATGAAAAAAAAAGAAAAAGAAATAATAGCAAAGTAAAATTTGTAAATTCTACAAATTTATATATAGCTATTTAGTTTAGCCGATTATTTAGCACATTCTTGCTTAAATTATATTTTTTTTTATTCGCTTTTCTTTTTTTTTTGTGCAGACATAGCCTAAGAATCTAAATTTTCTTTATTTTTGTATTGTTTAATTAACTCGACCTATACTTGTATACATGCACTGCCTTTAACTTGAACTATCAGATCTAGATTGTGATTAAGATTGTAAAGAAAGGAAGATAATCAGAAGGCAGATTTTGACCTTGCTGCAATATAATGATCTTTAAATTTATCTAACACAGTTCGCAACATTTGATTAGCATTCTAATAATCTGATTTTATACCTTCTAAAAATGAAGTAAATTTAGAAAGATTAATTTCTGTGGTTTCTTTATTTATTTCTTTTAAGACACTAAAGCTAATAAAAGAAAGATTATTAGGCTTTTATTTTTTGAAATTTATTAATTTGGTGGAAGTACCGGTTTTAGAGCCTCTAGCAATGTATCCTAATAAAATATCTAAGAATTAATAAGATAATGCAGTAGTCTTTTAATAAATACTAATTCTGTAATTTGTATATAAACATTGCAGTAATAATAATTTTTTATTTTTTTTTTTTTAAGCAGTCCTGCTTTTATTTATTTGAACTACTATGTAACTAATATACATTTGTACAAAGTTTCT